CACAATAAGTGAGCAGAGAGGAAAAAAAAATAAAACACAGAACCACAGATGAACCAGATAAAGACAGCCAAACAGACGTAGACAGAAAGACAGTCCGAGCGAAAATGGCAGGAAAAAAAGAGCTGAAAAAAGGAAGTTTGAGAAAACAACTCTGCGGTTTCTCCAGAGCAACAGAAAACTCGAGCTTCTTTTCGAAGCGATTTTCTTCAACGCCCGGGTCAAGGGGATTTCTTAGGTTCAAAACCCTTTCCCCTGCTCGGCGACCGCTCCCGCCTGGCCTTCAACCGCCATGCCACACGGGGTGCGGGGGGGGGGGGTCTAGTCATCTCTTCCGTGTGTTTTTTTATCTTTTTGTTGTTGTTTTTGTTTAGTATTCTTCTTTGTCTAAAGTCTTCGTATTTCTATTTGGTTTCGTGTTTATACAAGGATGCAAGCGGTTTATACATTCTTATTTGTCTTTCGAATACATAACGGAGATAAGTATATATATAACATGTAGCTGAGTTACATATACTCGCAAAGATATAGTATATATACATAATATGCAAATATGTATTTATATATATGGCAATATATATATATATATGGTATATATAAATATATATATATATATACTATATACTTCAATATATATGTGGTGTTGATGTGTGTGTGTGTGTGTGTGTGTGTTCGTGTGTGTGTGTGGTGTGTGCTGGTGTGTGTGTGCCGTGTGTGTGTGTAAATATATATTATATACAGTGACTATTACATATTGTAACATACATACACACCAACAGCACACACACACCACACACACACACACAGCACACACAACACACACAACACACACACACACACACACAGCACGCAACACACACACACAAACACACACACACAAACCACACACTCACACACACACACACATCCACAGCACGGTTCGTTACGTAGTAATCTGATCATAATATACTCACTGATAATGATATTAATTATATATACTTATATATATATTGTGTGATACGTGGTATTTACTAATATTAGGATTATAGTATTGCTTATTATTATACTCAACCATTATATCGATTAAGTAATTAGTATCATGAGCATGGGTAGCTGTACATAAACCATAGTTAAAGTATACGTTGTCATATCTACGTATATTATATATTATATATAGATATATATATATGGTTAAACACACCACACACCACCACACACACACGCACACACACACAACGAACACACACACACCACTACAACACATCACACATCACACACCAACACACACACACACACACACACACACACCACACGGCCATACATGCACACACACACACATGCACACACACACCACACCGCAACAACCGCACACACACAAGGCACGGCATACACACACACCACACACACACACACACACCTACCACACACACACACACACACACACACACAACACATACACACACAAACTCACACACCACATCAACACCACGCGCAACATAGATAACTATACATATAATATATACTATATACTACCAGGATACTATTATATATAGTATACATATATATTGTATATAGTATGCAAATATGTATTTTATCATCTATCATATAGTATGCAGTATTATATATACTATATTATATATATATTATACTATATATATGTGTGTGTGTGTGTGTGTGTGTAGTGGACCTGTGGTGCTGTGATGTGTGGTAGTGTTGTTGTGTTTGTTGCTGTGCCTGTGTAGTATAGCCCACAGCACATAGTGCCGCGCAACCCCCGGGCCCGAATTGCCGGCGAGTCACTCGCGTGGCCGTTGTGCGTGTGCAGTGTTAGGTGTAAATTATATATATACATATACATGTATGTAAACATACACACATATCACACAGACACACACTGCACATCTCACATCCGACACACTCACACATTATATATATAATATCATATATATATATAACTATATATTTATATAATATATATATATTATATATATATATGGTGTGCCTGATCGTTCGTCACGAGCGCGTGTGTGTGTGTGTGACTGTTGTTGTGTGTGTGTGTCCACTGTGTTATGTACTGTGATGTATGTTTACATATGTAAAGTATATATTAATATATATATACACCCACACACACTCACACACACACACACACACACACACACACACACACTACATATATTATATCATATTATATATATACATATAATAGATGTATATATATAATATATATATATAGTATATATGTTATATATATATTGTTGTCGACCTGTCTTGCTGTTGTGTGTTGGTGTTGTGGGTCGTGTGGTGTGTGTGTGTGTGTGTGTAGATATTAATAATAGGTATTATACATCTATGTTACTATACCTCCTATAGTATAGTCGTATATCACACGTATATGCTTATAAATATGTACTATAATACATTATATGTATATAGTATATATGCATACTATATTATGATATATATATATTCTACTGTATATATACAAGCGTATATGTATAATTATATATATATATGTGTATTATATAAGGGTATATTATACTATTAACGTTATATATATATATTATTATATATATATATATCTTACATATATTGTAAACACCACACACATAACACACCACACACCACACACACGCATACATGCACACACAACACACGCACGCACCACACACACACAACGCATCGCACGCACGCACACACACACACACACACACACACAAGACACACACAGCACATCTACCACACACACACCATTCCACCATAACACACTACACTATAGACACATCCACACACATACACAATACACACACATCTACACACACAGCACACACACATTATATATAGTGGTATATATATAGTATATATTAGTATATTATATAATTTAGTATATCATCTGACACACACAACAACACAACACACACCAACACACACACACACACATCATATATAAGCTAATATATATATATATATATATTATATATAATATATTTACTCACACACACACACACCACACACAGTGTCATATATATTATACTATATGTGTCGTGGTGTGTGTGTGTGTGTTTATGCCGTGCTGTGTGTGTGGTGTGTGGTGTTTATGCGTAGTGTGTGTGTGTGTGTGTGTGTGATGGTGTGTGAATGTAGCTGGTGGTGTGTGTGCTGTTAGATGTTGTGTGTCTCGCGTGTGGGCGAGTGTGTTGTGGTGTGTGTTGTTTATGCGTGTGTGTTGTGTGTGCTTGCGTGCATATATCTGTGCATGTTATAAGAACACATACCATTGCAAGATCAATTCTCTGTCTGCATTGATAACGTATCGAAAATCATTTCAGGGGGAATCGTATGACTGGACCAACGACGGAGAGTTTTGAACTAAGTCGAGGACTTTCCCGCCAAAGAAAAAGTTTTAGGCCCGCAGTCAACAGCTGACTGGTGGTGGGAGATTGACCCCGACTTCCTGGTGAACACAAAAGGGGTAAACTTTTTTTCGTTGTGGAAATCTAAAAGATATTAATTCTGTAGCTTGGTGGGTTAATGAAATTATACATTATAAATAACGCAAAATTTGTTGGCTATGATGATCATAATTTCATAATCAAGTTTATGCGAGGATGACTAAATACTTGCCTAACCTTGCAGACAGTCTGTTAATTACTGTGTTAAAAAATAACTTCCTAAATACATCTCATTTTTCATGTCACTCCCCTCCCCCCTCCCCCCCCTCTCCACTTCTTCCTTCCCCCCTCTCATATTTTTTTTTGACCTCAACCCTTTCACCTCAAAATAACCCACGAAAAAGATCCAAGACTATTTTCCCACGGATGTTTTGACAGCACATCGGCAGTGGCAAATGTGGTCACCTCGTCCATTAGTCATAAGAATCGTTATCTTGAACAAAAAACTGTGAAATGGACCTTATGGCATTTAAAGCTTTTATTCTAGGAAACTATGCGAGAGTTCTAACTCGATGGAGAAGTAAAAGCGAAAGGGTAAGACTAGAATTAGCTAGAATTCAAATTATACAAGTTATTACAAGTTTGATATCGATTTATTAGGTTGGGAAGCAAGGGCACAGAGTGATTGTTATAACTATAATTTGGTAGGACAGTAACTTGCTGTGGGCGTGGCGATCTGATACCGATTTTATGTTGTGAAAATTCCCATACACCCGCCCTTTAAATTATCTTGTGCGGGAGGACTTCAAAGCAGTCTTCCTGGATTTGACTTGGCTCGTTCAATAAATCAAGTTTTAACTTAACAATACAAGTAGGATCGCCAATAGTACAACTCTGTTAATTCCAAATTCAAAGCCCGAAACAATCCTTATTTATCAAATTCAAATCATTTCACAACCACACAGGACCATAACAAAACCCAGGAATTTCCTTTTTTCTGTTTATGGTATGAATAATACGTTAGTAGCTCGGGTACCACCCTCGTTTACATAATGGGTTTTAAGGCGTCTTTTTTTTAAATATATACCCACGTCCCTCAGAACAGGGGCGAGTTGAAGAGACACTACACGTCGTGGTTGTGATGTATGGATATCAAACTCGTCCATGTCGGTTTATTCTTGAACAATTTTTGTATACGTTGACCGGTAGAGTTGCATGGTGCCGGCGTCTCGTGGACTGACCTTCGCTACAACTGTCGTGGTTATTCAAATTTTCTCGCGCTGTTGAATTCTCTACGTCGTCGGGCTTTTTGTACGAAGGTGTGGGTATATTCGGACTATGTTGATAGTAGAATAAAACTAGGATTATGATAGAAGTCAAGGAATAATTCCATTTAATGCGGCCGAAAAGAGGGAGGATTATATGGCGAGCGTTGGCAACTCGCGGTCCGTGTGTGTGCCCCTCCCTCCTACTCCCACTCCCTCTCTCCTTCTTCTCCTCCTCCTCCTTCCCCCCTCTACCTCCCCCACCTCCTTTCTCCCCCATAACCCCTGCCCCGTGCCCTCCCGTCCTCCCCGCCCCCTCCAACCAACGCGGCCAAACTTAAAATTTTGTGGATCTTATGACAGTGTCGGTTTCACGGGCGGAGGGTGAGGTCGACGTCGCTCCGTTGAAGGTCTTCCCACACGCGACGCAAGTGATTTTTTGAAAGGAAAAGAAGGCTGTTGGAACTGGGCTTTTGATTGCTCTCTGTGCTGTTTGTTTGGAGAGAAACGAGGAGCAATAAAACTATTCGTTAAATAAGGAACGACTAGACCCCCGTACCGTGAAACCGTTTTGAAAGAATTTATTTCTTGGCGAATACTTTCAAGAATTGGACTTGATACCGAACTAGCATATTATCCGAATG